TTAAACCCCAGTGGCCTGACGTCACTCACCCTGATGGTGTGTGTGAAGGAAGCTATCTCTCCTCGATGACCGACCTGAAAAGTGTTTTCAAAGCCCAGTGGGCTAATGTCACTCACACCGACGGTGGATGGTGGGATCTCTCAGGGTGGCGGCCTGGGGGAAGTGAGCTGCAACACCAGCAGCCGACCATCACTCACTCTGATGGCAGGGGGTCAGCTGGGATTCTTTGGTGGCCTCCCGGGCAATAGTTAAAAAGAAGATTTTGGTTCACATGTCAATGTCTAGCTTGAAAGCAGGGAGTATAAAAAGTGGGTTTTTGTTTTTGTTTTTTTTTTTTTTTTTTTTTAATTGTGGTTCACCAGTGGCAGCAGTGCAGCCAGGAAGGAGAGTTTCCCTGTGAGGCCATTTGATTGCATGTGAAGCTTACAATGGGGCTGGCTCTGCCTGGTTTTAATTTTTTTCTCCTGTATAGCTGAGATATTTTATTCCTCCATACCAAAGGGGGGGGGGGGGGGGGAAATTAAATCCAGACAGCTCCAACTGCACTTTAAATTTCATATGCAATCAAACAGACTTTGAGAATATTGTCAGCTTCCTTACCAACCTGGCTGCCATATAGAGAATGTAAATAAATACTAAAATCCCAAAACATCATGTTCTTATGCTAACTCATCTTTTAATGCAGAAATTGACATTTGGGACAAATTCTCCCATTAAATTTATCCTGACACCTAAAGCATGATAAAGTTTGCAAATAACTATATAAAAGGAATAATCTTTGTCTTACTGCAAATACTCAAAAAACCTGCAAGCACAACTGCAGCTGGTATTTCATCAGCAAAAGAATTTATTTTGGACAGAACAAAGCACAAAGAGTCCCTTCTTACAGAGTAAATCCTTACAAAGACAAAATTTTACAATTAAAACATTCACACTAAAAATTAGTATTTTAAAAACCAACTTCCAGTCCCACAAATGTTAATTAACATGAACTACTTAGTGTATGTTAAGCTGCCATGCTGAGATGTCTGAAGGGTCAGAATCTGAAAGTTATCCAATACTGAAATCACAGCTTCTGTATGTAAAAGCAATACAACCGACAAACAAAATGGAACTGGCAATACATGCTGCTATAGCCAATATAATCAGTTTTCTTGTATGTTGTGCCCTTTTTCCACCAGTTCTTTGCCACATTAGACTGTTGAGATCATTGAGACTGATGCTATTGTTTCCTACATAGTTCCTCTATGCCACCCAGAAGAAAGCAAACCAATTCAAAGCAACAATACATTAAGGAATAGTTCTTGAATTCTGCTTTTAAGAGCTAACTGTGGTTTATTTGAGACTGCAGTTATTTGTACCAGAACTGATTTGGGCATGGAATAAAGCTGTGCACCTCTTCAGTATTTCAGGAAAAAAGTAAAAGGTTACATTTTCCTCTCCAATTCTCACAATGTGTGCAACTTACATATGTGAAGAAAAAATATGACTCTAACTCTGCATAGTTAAGCTAATAAGCTTTCTCATAGAGTGAGACAATAGGAACTGTAAGCATACTGTACAGCACAATAAGTGCTGGCACATGAACTGTTCCAGTCTTGAGGGCCAGTGTTTCACAGTATATCAGTGACAGAAGACCAGCTTGCAGTCGGAATTATGAATGAAAAGTTAAAAGCCTTCATGAAAGTATTGGACTTAGAATGATACTTCTGCAGTCATCTCAAAAATTGATGTATTGAATTATCCAGGGGAATACAGTATTTAACACTTCATTTTCTAAGACTATTCACACAAAAAGTCATTAGTTTAACCTAAGACATAGAATCATAGAATAGTTATTTAAGAAGGTGTTGTATTATATGTGAATACATTTGCACAAATTTAAGCCAATCAGGTAAAACAGTAACCATTAAACCTATGTAGGAGTATTTTACAAGTCTACTTCTAAACCTGGGGGAGTAGTGGGAGACAGAAAAATTCGTCTCTCTCCCTTTCTCAGGCACCAGACTGCAAGGGGACTGTTGGTGCATATTAATTCCAGGGTAAAATGTGTACTTAGAATTGCCACACATGCTGTCTCTTGAGAGCTATGGTTGTCTTGAAATAGTCTCTCATGTGTTTGTGACTACTATACAACAATGCTTCAGCAACAAATGCTATGGTTACATTTATATTAGTAAATAAACAGTCCAAGGACCCTTCCGTACCCCTGATGCAGCTCAGCTTACGTGGCACAACTCACATCCATGGAGCTTTCTCTTCTTCTCCCCTGCTCCAAAAAAACAATCCAAAACCCAGAATGGCCTCATCCACACGGTTTATTAGGAACAGGCCCAGGCCCACGCTAGTTCCCAGACTGTGCTCAGACACTGTTTGGGATGGTGCTAATTGGCCAGGGCCAAAACGATTCCAGGGACTGTGCTAGCAATTAGCAGCACGTTCACTTGCGCAAATATTCAAGCCCATCAGTTGCTGTGATCTAGCACAGGTCATGTCTCTTGAGCTGCCAAAGGCACTTCTTGAATTTGGCACCCTCCTTTGACAGATTCAGTTAATAAGGTGGCAGCTTCAAATTCCAGCTGCCATGTGCTACCTACCTCTGTCCTTCCCCCACCCAAAGAAGAAATAGCAGAGAGAGCAGGAGTTCAAAGAACTGGGCTGTTTGAAACACAGGAGCTTTCACGTGCTGCCCAAACCACCGACTCCATCTCTAACACGGAAAGAAAACACCAGACACAAAGCTGGACTTACCCCAAAAGTCTTTGGCTGAGCTATGATGATCTGCCAGCTGATGCAAAGTCATCAAACTCAAAAATGTTGCCCCAGTTTACAATGGGCAAGTGGCCTCACCAAACCACTGGTGCCTTTGAACAGCTGTAAAATCTTTCTCTACTTCCAGAACTGACAGAAGATGTTTCCTAGCTGAAGCAATACAAAAGGGATGAGTTTAGATTAGCTGAAGTAAATTTGACTTGGTGTGAATGCCTCTAACCTACCAGCACACATGTACTGGAAAAAGATTCTGGAAAAGAGAGAAAAGTTCATTAATTTCTGAGGATGTAGATATTCTCATTATGTCTATCTGCATGTTTGGTGCATTATTAGGCTGATAACTGATATATTTTGAAAAAAAGCCCCAAACAAAACAATTTTGGAAAACAGTGTTTCATCTTTCTCTCAAAATCCCCAAGGAAAAACTGGCAAGTTCAAACGTTTGGGGTATCCCCCACCTGCATTTAAAGAAAAGATATGACTTCCCGATATAAGCTGTTTCAATTCATCTTTGCTACAAAATTACTCCTGCTGTCTGCCTTACTACATCTAACTTTGAACATATTCACTGAACATTGAAAAATTAAGTCCAAATACTCCTAAACCCACCAAATTTTTAAATCACTGTCCTTACTGTGCCTCTGTATTATGCTGCCCAGAAAAATTTTATGCCATTTCTTTCTGCAGCATTGTTGCTCTTTTAAGCAACAGTATTCATTTTCATTTCCACACAATTCAGAAATATTTGAAAGAAAGCAAGCATAGAAGATGAAGTATTTGAGAGTGGAAAGTTCTACTACAATGATTTACAACAGAAAGTATTTTGCAACCTTTGCTTAATTCAAAGACTATGAAATAATTGCTCTACGTTTGACAGTTAATTAGGATTATATAATACAAGGGTGTTGTTTGCTTGTTCCCTTGGAAATTAGTGCTGTTTATTTGATAACCCCAGAAGACATTCATTCAAAGTTTAACTTTTCATTAGAATTATTCTTCTTCCACCTTTATTTGGGGCAGGAAAATGATGAATTTACTTGCTTGTGTAAAATTTTTGTGTCTGACCCTGTCAAACTGTGCTGTCAAAATCAAGTGCTCTTGGCTGGCGTCTGGAGCAATGCAGAAACAGTCAAAACCCACATCATCGACAGGAATTTCATCACTTTTCTGCTTACAAACTTCTAAGCATTTTTTCAATTTTTCAGCAAAATTGAAGCTGAAACTTTAGTTAAGCTTTTTACAAAATGTCAACAGATTTTTAATATAAAAATAATCAGAATAGTCTTAAGAATGCAGTCTTCCCCCCCCCCCCCCCCCCGAACCAAAAGCTTTTCAGTCTTTCACAATATTACAGATTCTACTATAACACTCTGCTTTTGTACCACACATTTTTGGAAACTGTGTCATTGTAGGTTTTCCCACTGATCATCGTATTTAACTCTTTAATTTATAGTAATGTGCCTTCTTTCAGCATGAACACAGACCTATAGTGCTTCCAGGGCACTATAGTGTGTAGTGTATATAGTGTATAGAACTATTGTGTTCCAGGTACTATTGTTCAATTCCCTCTGAGAGAACAGGGCTCTTGCCAGTCTTCCTTGCTCAAATGAAGTTGCAATTGGTTTAAAAACAAAACAGACCTCCTGAAAGTACCACAGTGTGTTAGACTTGATTATCTTACTAGTGAACCAAGAACATGGATCCACTTTAGATAGTGCAACTAAATAGTATGTTAAAAAACATGTGAGAGATGTATCAAAGAATTGATGTCTTTGACTGGAGTGCACCATCGTGTCTGTGAAACAATGGGAAAGAATAGGGCCAAAAATACCAACACTGTAAATGTTGTGCCCAAGCTGGAGGGACTCCAGGCACTGGGGACACCAAGGCTTGGAAACCACCAAGCCCTCCCTGCCCTGCCGGTCCAACCGGGAGCGAGACACACACGCGCCGGGCCGGGCCAGCCACCCTGCCAGGTGGGCCCCCGAAGGCCTGTGCCTTTCCTCCCAGGTACTCATCCTCCGCACCGAGAAGATGGCGTCAGGCCCGAAGCTGCCAGAAAATGTTTCTGAACGCATGCCTGGCTCTTCCACGAGGCTTGACTTTCCGCAGTGCCAGCTGCGGACTAGCAGCAACCCTCTACCTCTAGCTTCCCCCCTTCCCCAGCTCTCTCCCCTTTACAACCCCTCCCCCTCCCTCCCCCTCCCTCTTTCCGCCCTCCTCTTCGCGTTTCTTGTCTGGGCGGAGGAGGTTTGGCCCTGCGACGCTGCCGTCTCTCAGCGGCTGCGGGGGGCGTAATGGCGGCGGCTCTCTCAATGTCAGCGGTACTGAGGCACTTTGTCGTGAGGAGTGGGGTTGCCGCTCCCCGCCTGTCGCCGGCCAGGTAACGGGCACCGCGGGCACTCCACCGGCAGCACCGCTGCTGCCAGGGGCCCGCTGGCGGCATTCCGGGACGAGCGGCAACGCTCCCGAGGAGGCCGGCCAGGGCCTAGGGCTTCGCGGCGGCCGCCTCGGGCGCTGGGCCGGGAGGGCCGCGTAGGGCTCCCGCCGCGAGCGGGGTCGCCCAGGTGGCCTGCGGGCGCAGGGCTGGGGCCTTCCTCCCGGGCTGAGCGTACTCGTCTGCGTCTGTTCTTGCTGTCTTCCTCGCTGTGACCACCCGCCCGGTGTCCTTCCCGGAGGTCGAGAGCTGGTCGAAGCGGCAGAGGAGCCTTTTTGTGCCTGGCGTAGCGGGCGGCGTTTATCTCGCTGCACGGAACCAGAGAGGACGATGGCTGCAATCATTGCCAGCACGGGTTTCCCAGGAATTTTCACCCTTTTGCCCTGTTCTGTATCCTGTATTTTTTCCTCTTCGTCTCCTCCCCAAGATGCGGGTTGTTTTTGGATTTTTTTGTTTGTTTGTTTTTGCGGTTTTGTTTTTTTTTTTTTCCAGGGGGTACGTAGCAGCTCTCGCTGATTCCTCGAAATAATGCTGGATATCGCTTTATAATTTTTAGTGGCACTTTGCTGTTTGTGTCTTTAATGCAGAGACCTGTATTGAAAGTCCAGTATGTGAACCAACCTCCAGCTGAAGATATGTGAATGTGTTTACTTCTGTGCATGTCACAGGACTTAAGTTTTTGTAGGACTCCCCTGTAGTCAGAATTCAAAATATGGTTTAATGCCATTAGCTATTATTTGGAAGATTTGTTTTTCCATTCTACTTATATCTTTACATACAAACATAAGTTAGGTCAAATAACTTCTAAAAATTTGTGGGGTCTTTATGCATATATACACATATACGTATATGCACATATCTAAATACAGAAAGAAAGCTGTATATACACATAATAAACAAAAAGAAGGACTATGGCCATACTATTTTTCCCACTATTATGCTCTGTCACATTGGATACTGCTGCTTCCTCCCTTTTAAAATTGGCACCTGCTTGACAGTGCTGAAGGTTAATCCTGCACCATAAAAATGTTTTGGAATTTGGGAATATGGATTTAGAAATTCCTCTATGCTAATGAAGAAACCTAGTGTTCATGTGGAAGGTGTCTGTCTGTCAAAGGAGTGTTGGTACTAGATGATCTTTATGGGCCCTTCCAAACCAAACCATGATTCTGTTTGACTGCTTGTTTCTGCACTTCTTTTAATCCTCTGTAGTGTTGACACAACTGTTGCCTGTGCCATGTCATAAACTGGATAAGTCAACTGATTCAGGTTAAAAATAAATTTATTTGTTTTAAACACTCTACCTTTTAAGCAATTATTCCAGAACAAATAGCAGGATGTAGCAGAGGTGGGAATGAACAGCATGGATATGTGATGTAGGGAGTTTTTAAATTGACATTTTTTCCAAGAAATTTCTTTTTTGAAATAGTGGCTTAGATTCCTTCCTTGCCACAGAAGGAGACAGAAGAATTAGTGTTTCTTAATATTTTCACTAAGAGGGAAGTTGAAGATCTTTGCCTGAAGGGATCTGGAACTTATGCTTCAAATCCCATAGGAGAGTAGTCTGATCATAATTCTTCAGGTTTCCTGAAAAGGCAGGGAAGAGCACTAGGAGTTTTTCTTATTTAAAGTTTTACACATCATCACTATTGTATGTTGGAAGAGTGAGAATAAAATTTTCGTTGGAACAAGGAGGAGATGTTTCAGAGTAAGATAGTTTTGGCAACGTGAAGGAGTGGTTAAGGCTGGCATTCATTGCATAGTTTCTGTAAAGTAATTCATTACTTCCTTGGTGAAGTAGGCACTGAAAGTTACATCGTCCCCATTCTCAGTTTCAGTTTTATATGAGAAATATTGTTAAGCAGCCCCTGTGGTCTCCCTGCTTGGAAGGGAGACTGAAGGTATATAGTGACAAAAAAAAGATCCAGGGTTCTAAATTTTAAATTCAAGCTATCTTCCTGCAGTTTACAGTGAGGAGATAAATGTAGAGGTGCATGGGAGAAGCTGTGTCTTTTGCTACTGTACTTTCTATTGCTTCTTGAAAGCAGCAGTTTGGTTTGTTTTCCTTTGTGGATACCTTCCTTATATACCATTTCTGTTTTACCAGAAATCTAGATGTTTCCAATATAATAAATTTCAGTACACAGGTACATTCCTCAAAGCTTGGCAGTATACAAGTCCTATTTCTAGCTTTAGTGTCTCACATCTCATTTTCTAAAAAGGGACAAAGGAGCTTCCCTACCTCATGGAATTGTGAATGGTCTTATAATGCAAACCATTTTCCAGTTATAATGATCAGCTACTATCGAAAAACCCATTTGTTTGAGAATCTAGTGGCTTGCAAGATACTTTGCAATTGGGTATGCGGATCCTGCAGTACTGGTTTTCTTTCAGAAAAAGTATTTTAACGGATACAGTTTGGTACAGGTGCCTTCTTTGTTACATCAAATTCAGAGTGTATTTAAAGTCTTTGTCTGTCTAATTTATTACTGGAGTAATTGGTGTATTTTTCGATCTGTAGAAAGAATGTTCTGTATCAGTTTGCTAGATGTATGTCTTAAATACAGGTGTTAGAATTACTAACAATAAAAGCTAATACTGTAATAAGTGATAGGGCAAGAGGTAACAGCCTCAAGCAGCACCAGGGGAGGTTTATATTGGATATTATAAAAAATTTCTTCACTGAAAGGGTGGTCAGGCATTATAACAGGCTGCCCAGAGAAGTTGTGGAACCACTGTCCCTGTAAGTGTTCAGAAAGTGTAGCCCTTGGTGATGTGTTTGTGTGGTAGACTTGGCAGTCCTGGTTCAAAGGTTGAGCTTGGTGATCTTAAAGGTCTTTTCCAACCTAGTTGATTTCTATGATTCTTTCATCACTTCAACACTGTGCTTTTGTTTACTGAGTTTTGTAGTAAGTTTTGGTCAAGTTTGATACAACTTGGTAAATTACAGTTTCATGTTATTTGCAAAATTTCATTATGGGAGTAGTATAGCTTATTGGTTGAACACTGTAGGACTAAAGTTTAAACCTTCAAGCAGTAGATTTATTTGCGGTGTTTTTGCAGGTACTTGCATGTGAAAATTCTGATAGTTCTACATTTTTCAGAATTTTAATTACAGAATAATATGGCTGCCCTCTAATTTTGAAAACAATTCTCGGGATCATTTTCCAATAGTCACAAGAAGGTTCTATTCTGATTACCATGATTTATGTTTGGCACTTACCAATATTATGACATCCCCTGATGCAAAGATTGGAATTATCAGTACGTGTTTAAGCACTTCAAAATATACAACCCCAAGCTGCTTGATTATTTTGAACTGGTTACTGGTAACACAACAAAGAGAACATGCAGCAACATTCCTCGTAACTTTATGAAGTTTTATGTGCCTAGTTTAAATCACTGAAGCAGTAGTTACTGATTCCATCATTACTCTGTCTGGTGGTGAGCCTAATAGATCATCAGCAGATGGCTAGAGCTGATACAGAAAGTAGAAGTGCCTCCTTGGCTTGGATCACAGTTTTGAAGCTTTCACACTGTAAAACGTGTCTGGGTTTCAGAAGCTTGAAATTATGTGGAACATTCTCTTCTGAATTTGACCTCTTCAGGAGGAAAGTTGTACCTTGTTTGTCTGTCTTACCAAATTACTTCAAGTTTTACATCTGAGTTATCTGCAGCCAAAATTTGATGAAGTGGTATGATTTAAGTAATATAATTGCATTTCTTTTGAATTGGAGGAAAGCAGAAGAGGGATTTTTAAATGTCTTTGTTGGGAAAGATGGCAGTGTCTCCTTGCATTAGAAAATAAGGGTAAGCTGGTTAAAGAAAACTTCAGACTAGTTTCTACTTAACTGGGATCAGCTGTCTGCTCCGAAACTGTTTATTATTTCGGAGTCCCTTTATTTCACAAGCTATTGCAGTCAGGACACAAAAATACTAACTTCTGTTGCAGAAGCAAAGTATTTTATGTGTGCAGGTGTGATACCTGGCCAGACAGTCCCTACATTTTGTGGTAATGGAATGTTCTTTCACTTTTCAGTGATAGATTATGGTTCTTCAAAATATATTACCTTCTTGTAATTCAGTTGTAAAGACTCTGAGCATGACAGCAAATGTTTTGCTAGTTCATAAATGAACTGAGGTTTATGAAAGCGAGTATTTTTGTCTAGTAGAAAGCCTGTTACTCAGTTCATGCTATATGTTCAAGAGAATGAGGAGACCATTCCTCATTCCAGTGGGGTACCATTTAGATCTTATTCTTCAGCTGTTATGCAAGGGTCCTCAGTAGAGAGAGGGGAAAGCTATTTTTGTGGGAAACCTAGGACTTACATAGAAGAAACGTGCTTTATTTTCTGTCTTGTGTTTTCATGAATAATAAAGAAAATGTTTCTTAACTTTCAAAAAAAGTTGTTTTTTTTTTAGGGGGGGTTGCCTTTTGGGAGCTGGGTTTTTTTGGGGTTTTTTGTTTGTTTTTTTTTGTTATTGGTGTTGAACTAGCTTGTGTTATGTGTTTGGATTTTGTTTGGTTTTGCTTTGTTTTGTTGTTTCCTTTTTCTTCAAAATAATGTTGGCCTTTTTAGTGCATGTTCATACTAAGGCATATATTAAAACTGGGTTTAGTAGACTTTCCAGATCTAGATCTGGGCAGACTAGAGAGTTACACAAAGATGTACAAAGCTCTGGCTGCATCTAGTTAATAGAAGCTCTATTAAATGCTAGCCAGTTTTCTCAGGTTTTGAACAAGCAGCATGTTGCAGCAGTTGTATTACTTATTATTTCATGTAGCAGTAATGCATGTCTGCTACTTACTCTCAAACACTGTGTGGGATAATGGTTGTTGATGTCAGGTTCAGACACTTTGTAAGCTTTGGTTTTCATTAATAAAAAAAAAATACAGTTCTCCAGCATTTAATTTTGACAAAATTAATTCCAGTGGCTACCTGCAT